ACTTTGGGCGTGCGTAAATGGCCGCCCTTTTATTGATCGTTTTTATGATATAAATAAAGTAGCTCCTGAGTTTTTCCCAGAAAGTTTGTTAATATTAAAATATTCGGCCAGTACTTACAATTCAAGTCCACTAGTGGTGGCATATTCTCTTTTGTAACGCCCCATTCTCTCTTCACAATTACACTTTAATTGCAATTCATTGCAAGTCATAAATCTTGATGCCGAGGTGTTTGCGCCCCTGTGACTCTGTTACCGATCCCCAACTGCAAGTTATCATGCTTATCTGACCAGATAGCGCTCACGGCTCCCCGCATTTGTTTAATACCCGGCTAAAAGTGAAACTGTTGAGAAACCAATGCGTCGTCGCATTTTACTGCAGCTTACGGCAAGGGTTATTAAGCCTACACTAAATAAGGCTTGCGGAAGCCACTAATTAGACAATTCTTTTTAGATTTAGTCATTCAGCTTTAGAATGATCACCTGAGACCTACAGATTTCGCTGCAACGCTTTATTCGGTCGATGGCGTGTCAGCGTTTAGTTTCAAAGACTAAAGAAATTCCTCAAACTCACCAATCACAGCACAGTTCGGCGAGGACGCTATATGCGATTCCACCCACCCACGCACCAAAGCATAGTTCAGCGTGTAATACGGGATCGATTGTAACGGGGGTTTTATGGGTGTGGCTAAATGAAGGAAAGGAGAGTGAAAACCCAATCTTAACCCTATCCACTGTGTTTGTTAGGATTAGCATTCCTTGCCAAGTTAATAGGGCCGTACAATAGTTTGCTGCTGTGGCACATGTGATACTCGCCAGAGCCGACGGCTTCACGTCACGCAGACCAGTATGCGCAATGTCATTTCTAGCTGACCTGATTCGGTTTTTTTACGGACCCTCGACAGAAAAAAGAATGAGGTCAGCTCTCTGTCATCTTTCATCGCCACCACCCCAAAACTGATGCGGTTTGCGACTACTGCGGCGTCCTGATAGTCGCCGCTTGGAAGTTACCGGTTGACTCGATAAATTGGTCCTCCAACTAACTGCGGCTTTACTGACCCGACAAAAAATGCTAACCCCAACGAATACAATGGCTAGATCTAGATCATAATAATCCAGTAGATAAGACGATTTTGAAATTGTGATGGTCGTCTGTGCGGATACGCCATACAGTGGACATTACAAAGCTTTTAGACGACCGGAGTACTCTATTTCACGTATCCTTCACGGGCGGATAGGTTTTGGACTCA